GGGAGGGAGGGAGGGAGGGAGGGAGGGAGGGAGGGGGGGGGGGGGAAGGAAGGAAGGAAGGAAGGAAGGAAGGAAGGGCAGTAGCAATAGGACTTAGACTTATATACCGCTTCACAGTGCTTTTACATCCCTCTCTAAGCGGTTTACAGAATCAGCCTCTGGCCCCCAACAATCTGGGTCCTCATTTGACCCACCTCGGAAGGATGAGTCAAGCTTGAGCTGGTCAGAATCGAACATCCTGGCGTGCATAGTGAGTTAACTTGCAGTACTGCACCATGCTAAATTTTAAATTTTGTCTACTCATCTATAATTCAACGTCGACCTGGACTGAATTCGAGATGCTCCTCTGAAACAGCTTGCGTCGCAGGCAGAATCCAGCCCTTCCCAGAAGTAAACGACAGGGACTAGTACTTTGCTCCGAGAGGAATCGTCTTTTATTTCAAGATAAAGGCTGTTGTGCCATCTTCCCCCTCCCGCCGCCCATCGTAAAACGAGGTTTCCCCCTGAACTCTAGATCCACAACCTGCCTGCTCCCACCTTATTCAACAACGTGAGAGGGCTAACGACAACAGGTGGAAAGCGCCCACCTGCACCCCCCCCATCTCAGACCCCCCCCCACAACAACACAATGCTACATTCTGATGTATAGAAGTAAAAAATAATAATAATAATAATAACCCAACAGCCAGGAAAATGACCCCCTCCCTCCGATTGCTACATGCACCGGAAATGGTCTGCAATTGGGGGGGAAAAAACCCCATGGTTGGGACAGACTTTCTGGGCTGGCATCCCCACTTCAGCAGGGATGGAAAGAGGGCGCAGTGCCCTTCTCTGCCCCAGATGTGCCCCCTTTTCCATCCCTGCCAGGCGGCTCCTGTTCACCGGCTCCATGAGGGCCCAGCACAATTGGCAGAGCGTGTTTCCAAGTTTCAGGAAAAAAAACCCTGCAGGCTCTTAATCGGCTGCTTGCAGGGTTACTCCGCGTAGGGCTTCTGGCTTACGCCCGCCGGGACTGCTAAGCGGGCTCAGATCACGGACTAGAAAGGAAGAGGAGGGGCTTTATTCCAGATTTAGGAGTAGAAGAGTACTGGCGCCCAACGGGGCTATAAACTGAAATAGTCGAGGCTGTTGTGGCGGCAGAGGTTCGTGGTCCAGACGGCGTCTCCGCGGTTGGCGCTCAGCAGCATCTGCTGGAGTTCGTTGCTGACCCGGGAGAATTTCTCCTCGTCCACGGAGCCATTGAGCAGGTTGGAAGAGGTGGGGGGCCAGGGCAGGTCGTCCCCGTAGCAGTCCACGGGGTAGGGGTAGATGACCAGCCGCAAGTCCAAGAGGCCCACCGTCTTGTGGAGCAGGTTCTTCACCCCCTTGGCCGAGATGGGGTTGCCGAAGACGCCCAGGTAGCGGAGCCGGGTGCAGCGGCAGAGGGCGGGCAGGAGCAGGTTCAGGTGGGGGTCCATCAGCCGGCATTCCATGATGTCCAGGTGGAGCAAAGTGGAGGCGGCCTCGGTCAGCAGGCCCTGCAGAGGCTGGAGGAGGCTGTCGGACAGGTTGTTACCGCTCAGGTCGAGCTTCTTCAGGGACGAGGTGTGGAGGCTTTGAGAGAGGTAGGCGAAGTCGTTGGGCAGCAGGTAGCAAAAGGCCAGCTCCAGGCTCTCCAAAGGGCTCCGCAGGTTTCTGCAGAGACGGCAAAAGAGAAGGCCGCTTAAGGACTGGCAGGGGGCCCTCCCTCTCCCCGCTCCTTGTGCCACAAGGGCACAAGAGTTGTGTGGCGGTTTCTGGAGGAGGAGCACCCTCGGCCTGTCCTTCAGGCGCCAGGGATGCACTGCAAAAAGTCACAGGTGTTAATTATTTGTTATTTAAGGTAAAGGTAAAGATTCCCCTTGCACATATGTGCAGTCATTCCTGACTCTAGGGGGCGGTGCTCATTTCTGTTTCAAAGCCGAAGAGCCAGTGCTGGTCATGTGGCCGGCATGACTCAACGCCAAAGGCGCACGGAACGCTGTTATCTTCCCACCAAAGGTGGTTCCTATTTTTCTACTTGCACTTTTTACGTGCTTTCGAACTGTTAGCTTGGCAGAAGCTGGGACAAGGAATGGGAGCTCACTCTGTTACGCGGTGCTAGGGATTTGAACCGCCAAACTGCTGACCTCCTGATTGACAAGCTCAGCATCTTAGCCACTGCGTCCCAATATTTGTTATTTACCCATTATTAAATTTATTGACGGCCCATCTTACCAGAGTTTACCACAATATCAAAAGGATAGAATTTTACAAAACTTACATGCCATGCAAATGAAATAATATGAAAAGATAACTACTCGATCCTAACTAATAAAAATAAATAGAAATGGATCCAAAATAAAATTTGGTTGAACCAGGGACATGTGCTTAAGAGGTTATAAGTAATGAATGAAACCATGAATCGCTTTCCCTCCCCTTTTGGCGGTCCTGAAAATTCCAATTCAAAATTCTGGGGCTTCGTCGAACCTTCCCAAGGGCTGCCAAGGGCCGAGATTGCCCAGGGCCAATTTAACGGGTCCTTTAAGAAGTGAAAGGTGGTACAGGAGAGAATGAAACAAACAAAAAGGCAAAATTACATTTTAAGCCCATAAACACCTGGCATCACACAAGCTTTAACCCTTTTCCTTTTCCCTTTCAGTCATGCTTTTTTCCTCCTCCCTCATTTCCCCATGATTCTCATTTTTCTTTTTGTACTTATTTTGACAAATTAATTTTAAAAAATTATCAGGGGAAAAAAAAAGAGATAGGCAGCAATTTGGACTTCTGAATGGGAGCGCAGCCTCTTTGCTAGAACAAGGAAATCTGCCCTCTCGTTCTTTGTCCCATGCACAACCCCGCATTTCCCGGATCCATGCAGGATAAGAGAACAACAGCGTTGGAAGGGACCGTGGAGGTCTTCTAGTCCAACCCTCTGCTCAGGCAGAGAAGCCTACAGCATTTCAGACAAACAGCAGTCTAGCCTCTTCTTAAAAGCCTCCAGTGATGATGGAACGCCCACAACTTCTTCTGGAGGCACTGGTTAATTCTCCAGTCAGGAAATTCCTCCCTAGATCTAGGTCAGGGGTCCCCAGCCCCTGGGCTGCAGTCCATTATCAGGCCCTGCCCTATTGGGAACCGGGCTGCGTGAGAGCTGGGACTTGTGCAGCTCCCCTCGTGTGAGTGGTGTTGCATGTGTGCTGGGAGGCAGTTGTGCAGTCTGGTTTCTCTTCCCCCCTCCCCCAACCCGCCAAACCAGGCTGCCGAGCCGCAGAGGTTGGGGACCGCTAAGCTGCTCTCTTACCCCAGGAGTTGTGGCAGCTTGCCCGAAAGCCTGGAGGAGCCCAGGTTCAACTCCTTGAGGCAGGTGAGGCGGCTGAGCTGAGTGGCGAAGTACTGCAGGCTCCCTTCCATGCCCACCGTCAGCCGCCGGACGTCAATGTTGCTGTAGGGCAGCTTCAGGCTGGCCAGGTTGGTGAACTTGGTGAGGTGCGGCAGGACCACCCTGAGGCCGGAGAGCCCGAGGTTGTTGAACCGCAGGTCTACCTGCCGGACCCCGGCGGGGTCCAGGAACTCCAGCAGCCCCACGGTGCTGGCGATGGAGAGCTCCTCCGCCCGGAAGTCCCGGCAGCGCAGGCGCAGGGCGTTGCCGCTGTTGATCTGCAGGGCGTCCTTCAGCACCACGTAGGAGGTGCTGTTGACAAAAAGGTCCACCCAGACGTCCACGGACACGGGCTGCGGTGCCGGCAGGGCCACGGACCTGCTGTAGGGGCCCTTCCTCCGCTTGGAGGAGCGCTTCAGGCACTTGCTCTGCTGCTTGGAGACGTCCAGGCACGCCTTGGCCAGAGTGACCGTCCTGGACCACAGGCTCATGCTCTCCGGGCCCTGCCCTTCGTCCTGGAGGCCCGTCATGTCAAGGATCTGCAAACGCTGCCCCTTGCTGGCCGGAGGGGCAAAAAAAGGAAAGCCGTTAGCTTGAGCAGAAATGGAAACGGTGTCCTATTGGAAGTCTTGAGGGAGGAACATGGGTGCCTCTGCAGGCCTCCACAAACACCCCAAGTCCCTGAGATGACACCCAGTGTCCTTAGAGGACCTCCAAGGGTGGGTGGGGGTGGCTGTTCCTGTCACTTTTGCATCTTATCTGGATCAGGAATCTCCAACCTTGGCAAATGTTAAGACTCGAGGACTCCAACTCCCAGAATTCCTCAGCCAGCATAGCTGGCTGAGGAATTCTGGGAGTTGGAATCCACGAGTCTTAAAAGTTGTCAAAGTTGGAGATTCCTGATCCAGAGTGTGCCAGCTTGCCTGGGTGGGGAATTCTTCTGACTCCCAGTGCTTCTGGGCAGAGAAGTGGGCAAGGTAGCAAACCTATAAATAGAAGTGTCAAAGTGTGTTCAGGGTCCTCCTTTGCTAAGGCAGCTGAATTTAGTCAGCTGAATAAAGCATATCGAGGTATAAACCTGGACTCCCGTCTTTCTTTATACCAAGCCACCCCTGAAACCAGCAAAACAGTGAAAGAGGTAGTAACAGCAGCAACAGGAATAATGTCTATCAGCATTCCTCCACCTGACCACGGAGTTGGCTGGCCTGCCTTCCTAGAGGTCACCTTTTTCACAACCCTCAATAATAGTGTGCTGGTGGGATTAGAAACAACATAGGATTTCCCTTTGTGTTCACTGGGGTCTTTGCTAAACTTATTAGCAGTAGCAATAGCAGTTAGACTTATATACCGCTTCATAGGGCTTTCAGCCCTCTCTAAGCGGTTTACAGAGTCAGCATATATC